TTAGTTATTATTATTTATTTTAATATATAAACATTTCTGTCTCTATTGTAAACCATATCAGCCATGGTTAACACTTCTTCAGTAATATTTTCCTCAATTTAAGCTGTATTTAGCAACTCCCAATTTTCCTCTTTCGTTTTCCGTTTTCCACTCTTACTCCTCCAATTATAAGTGGGCGTGGCAGTCAGCAGCTTGCTCGCGTGCTAAAGCGTTTTAAAAAGCATTTCGCCCGTTGTGCTGATATGAAAGTTCAATGGCCAATTTTAAAATTGTTTTATTTTGCTGCGCTTTGCATTCCATCGGCTAAACTTGGGCGCCGTTCTTGTATATGCTTCAAAAGAGGTTCACGAGGAGAGTATAAGCATGTACATATATATATATATATATGTATATATAAGTATATCTCTATAGCTGTATCCCAGTAGAGCCAAAAAGCGTTCAGTCTTTAGACTTTAACAAATTTATTGAAGTGGGTTTTCTATATAAGAAATTTTAGACAATAGAATGTAGAAATAGCTAGCTTAAATATATATATTTTAACAATTATATTGATGTCGGAATTCTTTGGACTGCATAATTGTATAAAATTTACTATTTATACAAGTAAGGTTAATGAATTTATTTATGCATGTGTTTTTATAGAAAGGCGCACGAATCTGGCGTGAAAATCTTCACAAATCATAATTGGAAAATCGTAAAGTAGTAATAGCAATTACAAAGTGATTAACATCATTATAAATAGTTTAGTGAAAATGATGTTAAACGTCATTGCGTTTCTTATGGTGAACATCATAGCGGGAATCCTCACGACCATTTTTATGAGGATCCTCATCACGAACTATATTATGATGATGGCTATGAATATCATTTTGAAGATGACTGCGGACATCATTCCGAACGTTATAATGTACAACACCTTGAAGATCATCATGGACATTGCTGTCGCCATCATTATTAACATGCTCATGATCATAGCGCTGAGCTTCCTTATGAGAATCATAATGCAGCTCATTACGAATATGATTATGAACGTCAATATAAATATGTTGCTGAACGTTACAACGAATATCATTATACACTTAATGATGCCCGCGATTACGAGAGTTATTTCAAGCCTTCTAATGAACATACTCATGAACATTAATATTAATATAAAATTTAACATGATTATGACAATGAGTATCACTAAAATGATAGCTACACTAATAAAAAATTAACAATCACAAAGTACTCTAACATTAAACTTAAATTATTGTATTCTTATTTACATATTAAAAAACCAATAAAAATAAAATATAAAATTTTCTAAAATTTATGTTGCACTTAAGTATTACACTTTACACAATATTATTAACAACTTAAATGTTTAAAATATTTACCACTGCACTGCACAACGACTGACCAGAAGGAGCTTCAATTTCCGACTGAAGAAATCTCGGTAAGAGCATCGTCTTTATATAGGCAGCAGTCAGTCGAATTGAGAGCAGCTCAGAGCTCAGAGCTCAGAGCTCAGAGCTCAGTAGTTCAGTAGCTCTCTACATTGAATTGCTTTCTATGCCTTGATCACAAACCATTTGTTTTTGCAAATGTGATTTATTCTCTCTCAGAGCATATGTATATAGAAATTTAGAATAATATTGCCTTGAGCTGGTCAAGAAACGGCATACAAGCTGTTCAAACGTGAATTTCAATGTTTTCCCTCTCAGATTACTAATAAAGTTATTTCACACGAAGAATAGATACCCGATCAAACGGACCTGGGCAGTTTGACTCATTAAGTTCTATATATTTTCCTTTTATGAAATTTCTTTTCCGTTTACTCTAAATATAGACATCCAACGCTTAGTAAGGATTCCTTCCAATAGCACTTGTATACAGTCGATAAAATTATTAATAAATATTCAATTTTAAGCCAACATCAAATTCAATTCTCATTTACCCATTACGTTTACATAGAGTGAAGAATTTAGTCTATGGAATGAAAGACATATATGTATACTGCACAAATCTTGTATTATTTTTTGACCTGGCTTACAATTGTTGCATTTTAATGAATAAAATGGGGAACATGGAGAAAAAGCAAAACCAAAGCTTTACATAAAAATTCATTTTGCAAAACATATCGAAAACAATAAAGCTGAAAACTAAGCAAAAGGCTTTTCGGAAAAAACAATTTAGTGTCAGAACTTAACCCATTTACATGACAATTCCACAAAATTACAAAAGAAACATAACGAAGAGTCAACACACACACATACAGACACAGTCGCCCACATACACACACATACGTACGCACAACAGCAGTGGCATATACATAAACAACAACAGAATGCGGCTAGATATTAAAATGTGGGCGTGGCTGTGTGCAGCGAAAATACCACAAGTGGGCGCAGAATTCTCTGTCAACAATGATAGAACGAGAGGCCAACAGAGACAGAGAAAGAGAAAGAATGAGCAACAGAGTGAGAGAAAAATAATTGAAACAGCGAAAAACTTACGACCCGGATGCCACTTTATAGCGGCATGTGAATGATGTCCTTGATAAGAGCGTCATAATTTCAGTAGAGACAAACATTTAACGAAATGTTCTTAAACATAAATTTGTAGTTAGTTTCTCATAGAAACTGTTAGTTTGAATAGAAGATATAAAATACTACTTAAGAACATCCTTAATGTTCTAGAAATTAATTATGTAGTAATGATCTAAATATATATTAAACTAAGAAATCAATTAAATTCTGATGACGATTTTGCTGATAAGCTTTAAGAAATACTAAAGGTTTCAAAGATAACATTCGGCAGCGCTTTCTATGAGCGATGATTTATTTATTATTTCCATTAAATTTCTTATCAAGCTACGGCTTCCTTTCTATTCCTATATGTATATATCGACTTCAATAATATTTATATGTATATATTTTATAATATATTTTTTAAAAGGGTCAGCTAGTTTTTCAGAACCAAATTAAAAATAATTTTAAAAATGCATTATATATAAATATTAAGAACCGATTATAGCTATATAAACTAAAATATTTCTCTCTCATACTTGCACTGTTCGGATCATAATTTTGCGTAGAATCTGTACATATTTGTATATGCTTGTCTAGTAAGTAAAGTTATTCATTAACATATTAATTGTTAGATTTTAATAATAATTAATCAAAATATTGAATATATGTCTGAAGTTAGTAGCTAAAGTAAAAACGAGCAAGTTAATTCAAATTATTCACAGTTTGATTTGGGTAATAGATTAGACGTATAGATTGTATAAATATTTCCATAATTTACATATTGTTTATTTATTTATCTATATGCTGAAATATTTCTATAATTTATATTATATGTCTTCAAAGATTAACAAAAGTGTTCCTAAGTACTTTAGAGACACCAAAATTCAAGGCGCGCTGCTAAGCTTAGTCAGGCCGGCGGCAATGTGGTCTATTGCGGTCTGAAAATGTGCGGCATTCATTTGGCTTAGCGGCAAAGGACGACTTGAATAGTCCTAGCGAATTGCAGTCGCAGCTCTATTATATGTAATTTACTTCACACATAATCCCGAGCACTGGCGTCCGACGAGCTTATAAAACGGCTCCACTGTGCGGCGCTGCTCAGCTGGATGACAACAATTGCGTAATATTGTGTGTGCATGGGCGGAGAGGGGAGTGAGGAGAGTGCACGTGCCTAGCCAGACATGAACACAAGGAAGCCAAAAGTGAAACCGACGCATATGAAGGAGGAGCAAACTCTTTGCATGATTTGTACGTTGGCCTCGAACTCTGACCCCTGCCCCGCCCACTCGCCTGCCCAGACAGCACCGTGCCACGACTTGGCACAGAACTTATTGCATTTATCCAAAAATTCCGAGCGTCGCTTCCATTTCTGGTCCATTTGAAAATGGCTGTAAAGTCGCTGGCGAAAATCATATTTCAAATTTAATGGATTAGCAACAGCAGCAGCAGCAACAGCAGCGAGAGAGCTGAGAGAATTCCATGCCCCAATAAGTTATAGTATATCAAGCACATTCATATATCAAGCAATACAGAAAAAAAAGTATCTGAACGTGCGGCAAATATTTTATGGCATGTTTTTCTCCACTTTTATACTCAAATAGTAATCGAAACCAAATGGAACCTGTACGAATAATGAATTATGGCTATCGTTTTATTTCTTTGGATGCGCGCACTAATCAAGGCAATAAAATCAAGTCTATAATAATTTAATAAACTGCTCTGCGAGGTTCCTATCATTATCTTGAAGAATGGTATCATCTAAAATTAAAGACGTCAGGGTCAGGATGATAAATCTAACATCGAGCTGATTAATACGCTTCACTTATTGCATTGCAAATGGATATTTGTTTATCAAATAGTCATATATATTATTTCCATAGCTAACCCTTTTAGAGTTACTTTGCGATTAAATGCACAAATCAAAGCCACAGTTCATAAAACTTATGAAAGCAAATTAATCGAACGAACCAAATAGCGATAAGCCATTAGCAATTAGCTTAATGCCAGCACAGTGGGCTCTTGACCTACTTTGGAGGAGTGGTTACAGCTACATGAGACGCTGTCATTATCCCACCAAAAAAAAAAAAAAAAAAAAAAAAAAGAAAGTTCTTCAGATGGATTACCTATTAGTCTAATCATAATTTTAATAAAAAACTGAAAATCATCATCATATATGATTTCATTCAATAATTTCACCATTTTCATTGAACATTTGTTCCACTGTAGCGAAAGGATTTTAATGATTTGTCAGCTGAACAAAGGACGACTAAAAAGCCATCATCAATCGAAGGCACGCACAACGCCACATGGGCGACTCACAAAATGTGGCCAGCCTTCGAGCCATAATGTGGCAACTGTTGCGCCTCTTCCCGCCCCACACATAATTTGGCTGGGTGTGGCAAAAACTCGGAATCGAAAGGCACAAACTTAACGAGGCAACAGTTTAAGAAAGTTGTTCAAAAATAGGTGTGAAATATTGCCGATAACAAATTTCCACCTTTGAACATATACATATACCTATAGCTATATGTGTATTTAGATATAATTAGACTACCATTTAATACTTTTTAGTGCGTCATGTATATTTCCCCATTTATTTAAGTTTTTAATCAAAGTCGTGCCCATTCAATGCATTCAATTCTTATCTGGGCTAGGGATAGGCCTTTATAAGACCCCAAAAACTGTCAAACGATTTTTGATAAGTGTTGATCAAGTAGGGATTTTCCCAGCCCATTCAAATTTTGTTATGACAAGCAATCAATATCAGACAAATGTCATATATATAAGATATATGTTTGCTTAAAACAATTTGTTATATCCAACTTTATTTTAGGTCAACTGAAGTTAGATAAGAAACAAGCAATAATGCCCTAGTGGAAGACTACAAAATCCCCTGATCCCCTCGAAGAAGTGATAAACCATCCATTATATAATGAACAAAGCATGCAAAACTAATTGCCACTTTCTAGCCCTTATACTGGTTTCCATATTTCATACAGATTTCCAATTTTCAATGGGTTCAGAGCGTGAAAAAAAAATCAGTAAATGACTTTTTTATCATAAAGTTTCGAGCTCATTAAAAAAAACAGTAAACTATTTTCGCAATTTGTATATCTACAAAAGAAAACAAGGAGGCTAGACATAAGACTCATTACGATAAGAATGTTTCATGTTTAGAGAAATATATATGTATAATATGTATGTACATGTGCTGCTTATAAGATATATAAGTAGCATGTAGATAAATAAGTACATATGTTTGCTATACAGGAATGCACATAAGTCAAATACTATAGAAAAATTAGCTTACTTAATATACGATATTGTATATATACATATATCTAAACAATATTATATCGTGTAATGTAATGTATATATTAGATATAAACGATATTATGTACCATTTAAGCTAGCTATATAATTAGTTATATAGTAAACAGTTATAGAGAGGTATATACATAGTAATATAGTCAAATGCAAAACACATATATATAATATGTGTATGAGTGCTATATAATAGCATACATATTGTAGAATGAAGGCTTCTATTGTGAGGCGACTCTTTTCGATAGAGATATATGTATACAGCAGCTTGTATAGATTAAGTCTGCTTATATCAATTATTATATATTTATATAAGTATAAATTAAGAATATAATATATAGCGGAATACCGTATATGCTTGTCTACGAAATGAGGCTTAA